GAGGCCCCAGAACAATGCTTCACACGTTGCTGTAGGAGGACTCTAATAATCTGCTAGAACATCACACGGACAATCATCCTGCCATTCCTGGCAGTGGGACACATGTCGACTTAGGAACTAGGGTGCCCGTATTCTAGCTGCAACTTTCATCTAATGGTTATAGGACTAGAAACGCGTAATTGACCCTATTGGCATCATTGTTTTCATACATAAAATAGAGTTCATAAAAGCTGTACCAAAATTGGTTTAGGGAAATAGATGGCCCCAAACTGCAAGAATGACAGAAGTTTATATTCAATGTGGGAATGAGTCTATCACATCCTGGAAAATGAGCCTGAGGTCACTTGATTAAAAATATTGACTAGAAAGTTGATGGTAGCGAATCTGTGAAGGAAAGAAGATTGTAAGCAACATCAAATAAAAACACAGGCAGAGAATAAACTCCAGGGAAAGGTAAGTGTTAGAGAGCTCAGAGCGAAAAATTAATCGGCCCAAAGAATGAGCTGGGGTTCTCAAGTGTTTGCCAGTGTGATTATTTGGGGAAGAGGGTGTTTTAGCTTCCTAGGGCTTCCGTTACGTACAACAAATTAGATGACTTAAGCCACAGAAATTTTTTTTGCCTCACGGATCTGGAGGCTAGAAGTTCAAGATCAAAGTATCAGCAAGGTTGGTTCCTTCTGAGATCTGTGAGGTAGAATCTATTCCATGCCTCTGCCCCAGCTTCTGGTAGTTGACTGGCAATCTTGTCCATTGACTTGCAGAAATATCACCCTGATCTCTGCCTATGTTCTCCCTGTGTGCAAGTGTGTGTCCAAACTTCCCCTTTTTATAAGGACACTAGTCCTATTGGATTAGGGCCCACCCTAACGACCTTGTTGTAACTAATTACATCTGCAATGACCCTATTTCCAAGTAAGGTCACATCCTGAGGTACTGGAGGTTTGAGCTCCAACATATTAATTCTGGATGGACACAATTCAACCCGTAACAGGGAAATGTCATCAGGGCCACTCAGTAACTCCCACCCCCCCCACCCCCCCGCCCCCGGTCTGCGGAATGTAGCAACAGCCAGGCACCTATTCCTGCACCAGATCAGGACACAGGACAGCCAGCAGCCAGAGGAAGCACAGAGTCACAGGTGGTTACTTACCCCTCAGACAGAGGGGGGAACCCCCCGCCCACGAAACAATCTTTTAGCAGAACCCACCCAGGAGTGAGTCCTGTCTTCCCTTTTACACAATCACCAGTGGAAGCCTATTAATCACAGGAAGAATTTTAGAAAATAAAAACCAGCCATCTAATTATAACAGTAATAAGGGACGGAGACAAGCAGGGTTTATTCCAAGCATGCAATGATGTTTCAACAATTTGACATTTACTAACATAAGTACATAACATCCAAGGGTGGGAGACAGAGTCTATAAATATCTCAATAGATGCATGTAATCAATTGTGTTCCTCTTCCCAGTTTTCTATCCTTTCCTGTATCCACACTTTCTGCCATGTGACTTTGAGTTCCTTCGTCCAGAGGCAGAGCATACCTCCCCCACCTTCACACTGTTGTTGGGCTTTGCCATGTGACTTGGTTTCACCAATGAGAATGGGGTGGAAGTGGGTGTGTCTCAAGCCTAGCTCTTTTGTGGTATCCTTTGTTTCTGCTCATCTCCTCTTCTACTTCTGCATCGTCATAGAACCTTCCCTGGTGGATCACTAGTCCAAGAAGGATAAGAGATGTTTGTAACAGCCAATCCTAGTCAACCCACAAATGTGTAAGTACTAATTATTGTACTAATCTACTGCGTATGGGGTGATTGTTACATAATTGTTATTGTGGCAATCGTGGACTGATACAATGCAGAAAGGCCGTTAGTAAAATTCAACACTGGTCTCTGATCTAAAACAAACTCCCACACACATAATCACACAACTGTTTGCAAACTGCATTCAGCTAATAGTAGGAAAAAAATTTTTTTAAGAAAATTTTTTAAAATTTTTTCTGCAGAAAACTTGAAACAAGCTGAATGGTAAAACATTAGAAATAGTCACATGAAAGTCAGGAACAATACAGAGATGCTAGCCTTCAGGGATGTTTTGCAATAATAGGTCCTAGACAAAGAATAAAACAAGAAAAAAAATTAGACGTATAACTATTGGAAGAAAAGTGAGAAATATGTCCTTATTTACAATAATACAGCTGTTCATCTAACAAATATAAATCCACCAAAACCTTTTAGAACTAACACCAGAGTTCAGTAAATAATCAGACACAAGATCAGTAGATGACATTCAAAAGTTTTCTTCTATACGAACAAAAACCAAATAGAAAATTAGAAAAAATAATGGTAAAAAAAAAATCTCATGTATGACAGTAACCAAAAAGAAAAAAAAAAAGCAGTGGTTACTTTTTTCCACAGGGTTCATAGATGTGTAAAGACTCAGTATTGATGGCAATGCCTTCCCAGATTGATCACTACATTGGGTTTACTCCCAACCATGGCCCCAGTATATTTCCTTTTTAGAGGACCTGACAAGCCGATTCCAAAACAATTAAAAACAACTTGTATGCAAAATGCCAAAGTAATGAATATACTGAGGAGGGGGGAAAAGGAATCATAGATATTCCAAAACATATTTAAGAAAAAAATTTTTTAAAGATTTATTTTATTTATTTTAGAGAGAAATAGAGAGAGAACACAAGCAGGAGGGGCAGAGGGAGAGGGAGAGAGAATCTCAAGCCGACTCCATGCTGAGCACGGGGTCTGATGCAGGACTCGATCTCACAACCTGAGCTGAAACCAAGAGTTGGATGCTTAACTGACTACAATACCCAGGTGCCCCTAAGATAATTTTTAATTATATTGCTACAATAAAAAAAAATGAAGGCAAAATTAAAATATTCAGGTAAAAATAAGCTTAGAGCATGTACTACATACAGATCCTTCTTAAAGGAAGTTCTCAAGGACATGCTTCCAGTAGAAAGACCATGATCCCTGGAGGAAGGTCTGAGATGCAAGAAGGAATGGAGCACAAGTAAAGCAAGAAAAATATGTGAGCAAATCTAAGCAGAAACTGATTCAGAAAACAATAATCATATTAATGCCTGAGTTGTGTGCCAAAGTACTAAATACAGAACTAAAATCTGGATATAAATTACAAGTAAGTAGAGAGGTAGGTATCAAAATTAAAGTGCTCAAAGATTACCATAGGGCCCAGAAGGAGGGTAAAATTCTTGATTGGGAAGTCATTGAGTTAAATGTGCATGTTAAAATTTCAGTAACAAAGATAAAATAATGGAATAAAGCATATAACTTCAAAACCAAGATGCAAAAATTTCAATAAGGAGAAATAAAAACCTCTCCCAACCCAAAAGTTGACAAGGAAGAGAAAAAACAAAAAACAAACAAAAAAACAAAAACAAAAACAAAACAGAAAAAGTGGAATAAATAAAATGTCCAAAATAAAATGGTCGAAAAACGCAGTTATACCAAGAATAACAATAAAAGAATATAAAGTAAAAATCTCTTATTAAAAAACAAAGCTGGATTCTTTTCCACTCCAACTACATTTTATTTACACTCAATGTATGAGGCACAGAAAGACTGGAAGGAAAGGGATAGAAGTAGATACCAGGCAAACAGCAACTAAAGAAAGTTAGTGTTGCTTTATTAATACCAAACACAATAGAGTTCAATACAGATAATCTTCCTGGAAATATACAGGCTTAGGGTGTATTAATGCAAGAAGAGAAAAATATTCTAAATTTGTATGCCTCTACACCAAAGCTTCAAAATGGGCGTGCTGGTGGTGCATTTTTATGCCATTAACCGAAAGAGCAACCTTAATAACACAACTCAGTGGGACTTTTCCTCCTTAACACCCCCCTTCCCCCACCCTTCTCCCCAAGTCCGGCTTCCGAGGAACATCTCCAAAATAAGCCACCTGCACCAGCGTATTCAGGTTCTGCTGCAGGGAAGCAGGGCAGGCAGAATCAGCATGGGTGAGTGTTTCAGGAAATGTTCCTGAGGAGGTAGGACACAGCCCAGAGAAGTTTGGACAGGGTCTGGGAAGGGGAACGAAGAGGATCAGAGCAGGCACCAGAGCCTCAGCCCTGGGAACAGGCCTCAGGCAGCTGGGGAAACAGAGGTGGAGGATGTTTGGGGAAAAGGCAGGGGTGGGGGCTGCCCAGAAAAGGAGAAGGGCCACAGAGACTGCCCTTGGCATTCTCCCCTCCTGTCAACTCTGGTCTCCCTGAGGCCCTGGCAGAAATTGCACCCTGCTCTCTCTCTCTGGCTCCCACCCCCAATCTCACATTTCAGCAAAAGCTCGGTCTGGTGCAGAAATGCAACCCTCGCTTTTGGGCCCAGGTATCGCAAAATCAGAGACCTCTTCCAAAAACCTGCCATTGTGTTTCAATTTGTTGACAAAGATCACTGGAGTCCCTGAGCGGCCAACACACACGAACAGCAAGCTGTCCCAGGCGGAAGCCCCAGCCCCCAGTCTCTGTGGTTCTCAAGCAGCCTCCGAGTGAGGAAGGTCTTGGGCCCAGGGGCGTGGGTTCCGGGCCCAGCTGCAGATGACCTCCTGGCTTGGCGACCTCGGGATTGTCACTGACCCCCTCTTGGCCACGATTTCCCAGCTGTGTACTGGGACTAGGAGGACTCAGTCCTCTCCCTATGCCACAGGGTTTGCTTGTGTGAAAGCAGGCGAGGCTGGCGTTTGAAGTGAAAGCAAAATGCTCTGTCGGGAACCTCAATTTGTATCCTGAGGTTCCTTTTTCCCTTCAAAAACCATTGATAGATGCTCACTTGATGTCTCATTGTATGCTCGGCATGGTGGGAAATTCCAAATGCCACGGCCACCCAGCCAAGAGCCTGTAGATGCCCCTCTTGTCACCTTAACAATTAGCTGGATGCTTGCCCCACGTCTTCCTTCCATCCTTTCCTCAAGCTCTCATGTGAAACCTTGACTCCACCGTGCCCCTCCCCCAGGATGTGACTTACCTTTCTTCCTGTCAGGGTCTCCATCTGTACTGCCTCTTCCCTCTCCTTCCCTCCATGCCCTCCTGTTTTTCTTATTCTAAAGAAATGTCTGTCTTTACTGTTTCTTTGTCACATCTGTCCGCAGCATTGTCAACCAAGCTATACTCTCAGCCCTCAGCTCAGTCCAGACTGGGAGACTGCAAGCTCATTCTGCCAAGGGTCAGAGAGTAAATATTTTAGGCTTTGCAAGCCATGTGGTCTCTGTCACAACTACCCAACTCTGGCATTGTCACGCACAGGCGGCCATGGACGATAACATCAACATGGAGGCATGTCTGTGTCCCAATAAAACTTTGTTTATAAAGACAGGTTGGACTTGGCCCCCAGGCTGTAGTTTGTGGACTCCTGATCTTCTTAGCTGTTAATGTTCACATGAATCACCTGGGCATCTTGTTAAAATGCAGCCTCGGATTCAGGAGGTGGCGGGGGGGGGGGGGGAGGGCGGGCGGTCTGCATTTCTTGCGAGCTCCCAGGTGAGGCTGATGAAGTTGGTCTCAGGAGCAAGGCTCTTGATGACTTCTGTGACAGGTACAGCTGACCAGCTGCCATCCCAAGCCCCTTCTCCCTTGTTGCCTTCCAAGAGAGGGGATGGAAAAGCCAAATAAGCATTTTCATCTTCCCTTGCAGCCGGGGTGTCCATGTGGACCAGCTCTGACCAACATGAGGAGAGCAAAAATGTGGAGGTCTTCCAAGAGGCTCATGAATCACACCCTTCTCCCTGTCCTGAGTTCTCAATAACTTGAGAATTAGGACAAAGGGTGGCATGTGAAGGCTTGAACTATCACCCTTATTACTTAGAAAGGCTGTTATTGTGGAAAGCACGGTTTACTGTAAAATGGGCCTGATATCTGAATTGCAGAAAAAAGCAGACTTACCTAGCCCGCATGGACTGGGACCGACCTCCCCATCTGGGTGGAAGGATGGGGGTAAGACTTATGGCCCAAAGGAGCAGAAGAGAACTGGTACCTGCAGACAGGCTCCCTCCCTAGCAGAACACTGGAGTTTACTCTTCCCAAATTTAGCCACCAGCCACATTCCACTTCCCCTGGGATAGGGTAAATAAAGGGCAGAGGGAACCTGGAAGCCGATCACAAGGAATGAAACCATTTCAAGTGAAACAACCCCACCACTCCCTCTCCAGTGATTGTGACCCTTTTGTTCTGTTAAGATATTGGGCTTAACTATTAAATGTTTAGTCAGGAGGAGGTGCGTAGTCTAATAGGGAAACCCCACACCCACCTTTGCAAGACTGTACCAACCTCTTTTCGCATGAGACTATAACAACCACTTCTCTGCCTTGGTATTTTCTTGTGAACACCAGTGGGGAATTTCCATTTTCCCCCACAAGGGTCTGAAATGTGTCAGCAGACTACATTAATTAAACTCTAAGTTTATTCTGGACACAGGGCCCCAAATTCATCCTGATTTCTATTTATTGCCCTAATTGTATCCAGTCATGTTGTCCACATAACTAATCAGAGTTCGTGAATTCATTCATCCAATAAATATTTAATGAGCACTTTGTTCTAGGCTGTGTTCTAAGTGCTAAAGATGCAACAGTGAACAAAGAGGAACATGCCTGTCCTCATGCAGCTCAGGTTCCGGCAAGGGGTATAGACAAGAAATAATCAGCATGTAAATAAGTTTTATTACATGTTTGATGGTGGAAAGCATCATGGAAAAAAGAAAAAGCAGAGCAGGGAAGGGGGACCAGGAAAGCTGGGAATGCTATAGTATGAAAGATAGGGTATATACTGGAATTAAAATTAAATTAAATTAAAAAAATTTTTAAAGGTAGCCAGCATGGGTCTCCTCAGGAAGATTACATTGAGCAATTACTTGGCGTGAGGAATTAATAATGTAGATAATTAGAGAAATGCATCCTGTACAGAGGGACAGTCGTCGCAAAGGCCCTGGGGTACAAGTAGGTTTGGCCTGTTCAGCGAGGAGCAGATTGGCTGGGGTGGAGTGACCAGAAGAAAGAGGAGATGAGAGAGATAATACAGGGTCACATCATTGGGAAATAACCCCACAGAGGAGGCTCTTGTAGGATGAGAGAAGATGATGGCTTGGACCAGGATGATAGCAGTCAAGGAGGGGAGAAGAGGTTGAATCCTGGATAAATTTTTAAGGTAGAACCAGTAGGATTTCTTGGCAGGCTGGGTATGTGAAAGAAGAAGCAAGAACTCCATGGTCATTCTTGCACTGAGATTAGATGATAATATTAAGATACATCAGAAATAGCAGAGTGAGGAGCCTGGCCGACTCTCTTCACAGAAAAACAATGATTTGAGTGGCAAAAAAATATTTAAAAAAAAATATTTCCAGTCTTTAGAATCATCTTAAAGGCATAAAGCAAGTGGAGAAACATTCATTGAAGAATATCTATGAAATCTCAGAAGGACAGCAAGAGTCTGTGGTATTTGAGCCATGACCTGCTCCCTCTTCCTCCCCCAGTTCTGTGTGATGGAAACTCTCCCACAGGTGAGTATGGCCAAGGAGACAGGGTCTCCCTTTTCCCTCAGTTCCCAGCCTCGGGCTACAGTTTCACTCTGAGAAGGGCAAGGCTCCCGTATTCCTCCAGCCCCCTGTTGCAGAACCTCTAATCTGGGTGGGTGTAGATGAAGGAGCTGAGGCCCCCTTTCCCCCCACCCAGTCTGTTTGTGTGGTGGAAGCTCTTTTCCAAGTAGGGCAGGCTGAACATCGGGAGGCCCCAACCGTCCCTGCCCCAGCTAGTTCACCGGGAGGTTCCATGCTGATCGGGGAAAGGTAAGAAGAGAGAAGCTACCACCCCTCCCCTGGTCAGCTTGCAGAGCAAGAGTGTCACTCCTGGGGAAGCGAGCCATTGTCTTCCCTGGGGAAGAGACAGGCCGGAAGGAGGAAGAGCTCCAGGATACTGCCTGGAGGGGGCTGACTTTATTTGGAAGAGAATGTGGAGAATTCCTTGCTTACGGCTGTTGTTGAAAACCAGGAGATCTTGGTGAAGGGAGATTGAGCTCCATAATACTGGTAGCAGTGAAGTGGCAGAGGGACTGAAAGTTGAACAAAAAGAAACAGGGTAAAAGCTAAGAAGAACACTCCTGGGGTCACAGCTGACCCGGGAGTCTGCACATACCTGGGAGCATTGGAAGCTGGGCATGGGGTCAGATGTGCAAGCGTGCCCCACGTCACACACAGATTAATCAACAAGGGGCCGAAGCCTCCCGGCACAGGAGTTCAAGCACAGCCTCTGATGAAACACTGGGGAAACAATGAGCTCCTTGAACCCTGGGGAACTCTCCGGAAGCCAGGAGTAAAAAGAAAGCCATACGCATCCCTGGAAGTCTTGATAAATGCGTGCAGGGCACGGGAGTGGTGGAGGAGGACTTCCAAGTTAGCCCCTGGCTGAAGGTGGGCCCAAAACATAAAGTCCCTGAGCTGGGATGGCTAAGTGCGGGCGCGCGCGCACACACACACACACACACACACACAATCTAACTGGCTAAGGAAGCCTGAGCCCAACCTTTGACCACTGAGTAGCTTCTGTGGATTCAAGGATGACCCCTAGGTAGCCAGAAGAACAAATCTGAGCAGGGACATCCGAGGCTGCCCAATGCCAGGGAAATAGACTTCACAGAATTAGTTCAGCCAAGTCACTAAACAAATAAACAAACATCAAGCAAACAAGAGTAATAACCACAGAGGAGGGGGGGGGGGCGGGTAGTCAGTAGCCAGAATTGCTACAATGTTATTACCTAAAATGTACTGAAGCAAGTGACACTAAATCGTAATTCAAATCCATACTGAAAAATAAAAAGTACCAGTAAAAATAATTGTGGAGATAAACTATAAAAGATGGCATAATGACATATTTCTTCTCCTGTCTTTAGCGGATATAAAGAGTGATTGTATAAAACAATATGTATACAATTATGTTATCGGAACTGTGAAGTATAGAATGTAATGTATTTGAGGGGCGCCTGGGTGGCTCAGTCTGTTAAGCATCTGCCTTCAGCTCAGGTCATGATCCCGGGGTCCTGGGATGGAGCCCCACATCGGGCTCCCTGCTCAGCGGGGAGCATGCTTCCCCCTCCCCCTCCTCTCCCTCTGCCCCACCCCACTCCTGCATTCTCTCTTTCTCTCTCTCTCAAATAAACAAAAAGTCTTAAAAAACAAAAAACAGAAATGTAATGTATTTGACAGTAACAGCAAAAAGAAGGCAGATGGGAGCAAAGACACACTGAAGTAAAGAAATTAATCAAACCAGATGGTAACTGGCATCCATAGGAATGAATGAAGAAAACTGGAAACGGAAAATAAGATTAATTTAATAAACTTAGCTTCTATAAAAGACATGCAGTTTTGTAAATTAATAATTATAGCAATGTGTTTTGGGTTTGTAACATATATAGGTGTAATATTTGTAGCAATAATAGAATAAAAGGGGGAAGGGTATGGAGTTATACAGGAGAAAAGTTTTGGAATTCATTGGAATTATGCTGGTAAAATCTGAAGTAAAGCTGATAAGGAAGCTGTATATTGTAAGCCTTAGAGTCATCACTGTGATAATAACTTTAAAAATAGAACATGGGGCACCTGGGTGACTCTGTCAGTTAAGCATATGACTCTTGATTTTGGCTCAGGTCATGATCAGGTCATGAGATTGAGCCCTGTGATGGTCAAGCTCCATGCTGGGCATAGAGAATGCTTGAGATTCTCTCTCTCCCTCTCCTTCTGTCCCTTCCTGCCCCCCCACCCCATTCCCCCACTTGCATACTCCCTTTCTGAAAGAAAGAAAGAAAGAAAGAAAGAAAGAAAGAAAGAAAGAAAGAAAGAAAATAGAGTTAAAGAGTCATTAAAAGAATTAAAATACTTTTCTAGAAAATATCCACTTAATACAGAAGAAGACAGTAAAGGAGGAACAGAAGGGGACAAAAGAGAATGAGGCATAGAAAACAAAAGCTAAGTTGCAGTTGTAAATATAAGCTTGTCAGTAAGAGCACCAAATATAAGTGAATTAAACTATCCAATCAAAAGGAAGAGATTGTGGAAAAAAGCCAGATCCAACTATGTACTGACTCCAAGAGACACACTTTATTTTTTTAACTGCCTTTGTTTACATTTTATACACATAACAAAATGTTATCATT